TATATATATATATGTTTAATTGGAGTATAACATTTAAAAGTGCCCAAGTGTAGAGCTTCATGAATGCTCACAAAGTAAATACAACTATTAACTTTAAGCTGGGTCAACACACAATATATTATTCACACCCCATTCTTGTCTTCTCATTACCTGCCCCCAATTCTCTCTTTCTCAAGGTACCACCATTCTGCCTTCAAACGCTATACGTTAGGTTTTCCTGTTTTTGAACTTCATGTAAAGGGCACCACAGATTATCAATGTTTTTATATCTGGCTTCTTTCACTCAGTATCACGTTTGTGAGACTCTTGCACTCTGTTGCATGTCATCGCGGTACATTCATTCTCGTTGTACGGTATTAATAATATCGCAATCTACTTATCCGTTCTGTGGGTGATGGGCACGTGAGTAGTTTTAGCTCTGTGCCATATAATATGTTGCTGTGAACATTCTAGCCTGTTTTCATAAACTGATGCTCCACATCTTTTGGGCATATGCCTAGGACTGAAATTATTTGAGTCATATATTCAGCTTTACTCATACGGACACAGAATTTTCCAAAATGGTCAGACCATTTTTGATTCTCATCTCTTGCTTCTAAGATAATCCTTTCCAAAGCATGGGGCTAGTACCCACCGCTGTACTAGTGTTGCATAAAAGGATCTATGTGAGGAGCAAAACAAATAACATCAGGCTCCAAAGTGAGAAAATTATTGCCCGTTTAACGCTCTTTCAGTCCTTCTGATTACATAAAGAGAATCCCATGTGATGCCATGTTGCTAGCTACCTCTCTGTCTGTTTTTATAAAAAGTCTCAGACTCTCAGCAGGCAACTGTATCTACTTGATACTTAACAACATTTTGTTTTAATGTATTTGTTTTAATTACTTTCTACTTATTGCAAGTGATAAAAGGTTTCTCATTTTAGTTATTTAGCATTTTCTTTCAAATAAATTCATTTAAGGGGTCGCTGGGTGGCCTCAGCTGGTTAAGCATCTGACTCTTGACCTCAGCTCAGGTCCTGATCACACTGTCAAGCCCCGTGTTGGGCTCTGTGCTTGGCGGGAAGCCTACTTAAAATAATAATAATAATAATAAATTCACTTAATTTTTTCAAAAGTGAGTCAACTTAAAGAAAATAGTAAACAATATTCAGATGATATGCAGCTTCCAGAAATGAAGTTGGTAGTGGAATGACTCCTGTTTGGAAAATACCCACTTAGAGTGTGCATTTATTTACCAGAAGGCCTCCGTGTGATTTTTATCTGCATTTGATGAGCTTACTTCAAAGTACCAGGCTCACCACTGAGCACTTGGCTTTACTAATCGACAGAAGACAAATTTTAAATTTGTTCCAACTCTAATTTGCGGAAGAGAGGCCAAAATGAAGTCCATACACCATTATAAAGGTCTTCAAATACCAAAAACTTGATGTGTCTGACCAGCTTGGCTTATTAATGGACAAAAATCGCATTGAAATTACTTCATTTCATGCAGAAGTCAGAAGGCTCTACTTGATGCCTAAACAGATATGAGAACCTTTTGCAGAACCGGTAGAAACAGTCATCCACAAAGGTTAACAACAAAAATCCGTAGAAATATGAAACTAAATATCTAGTTCCCCACCTGGATTAGTCCTTTTTGGGTTGGGGCGACAATTAGAGACCAAGTGTTGCTTTCCCCAGCATTCGGCTACTCAGAAGCCACAACGGGAATCTTCTCATAACTAGGGCTGAGGCGCCCAACACGTAAGCTAACGCGGGGAAGCAGAAGGTAAGTCGACGCGAGGAATCAAAAGGCCACGAGGACTTCTCTCCGCCCCGGCTCCGGCCCAGGCCCCGCCCCGCCGCCGAGGTCCCGCCCCCACATGCCCCGCCTCCTCCGCTTCCCAGTCGGCTTCGCGAGTCCCGCGCGCACTGGAGATGGCGGCCGCGGTGGGAAGGTTTCTCCGGGCCTCGGTGAGTGGCTGCAGACAGGGGACAGGCGCGGAGACACTGCAGTGGCACCGAGATCGTAGTTCCCAAGCAGGATCCTGCTCTCTGCCGTCTGGGGGCCTTTCGCCCTTCTTGGAGGGCACCAGCGGGTAACGGACCCCAGAGGCCTCTCCTCTAGGGAATGTGCCTGCGCAGAATCATCCTCCCCCCGCCTCCTCCTAGCTGTCCCCTCTTCTAATCCCTCCTCACCCAGGAGTCGCGGGTCCCCAGGCCTTTTTCCACCTGAGCACCTGGTCCCGGAGGCAGGCGACCTGGGCTCTGTTCCCTGTTCTGTAGCCTACTCTGTGACCTTGGACTGACTTTCCGAACCTCAGTTTGCTACCCTTCCTTACCTTAAGATAGAAAGAGTGATGGCCTACATCAGGGCGTTGCTGTGAGCATCCACTCGATGCTGGGTGGAAACCAAAGTGGTAAAGTACCAAGTGCTAAAGTGCAAAAGGCACTTCCCTTCTCCCACCCCAGGTCTGTCCCCACGCTTCTCAGGCAAAGCCTAGTTCCCTCTTGGTACCCACCCTCCGCTTTCTCCTGGCGGGGTTCAACGCAGGCTCCTTCTTCCTGAGTCATGCTAGACACTGTAGTTGAGCACACAATTCCCTTGAGCCCTGTACACACTTTGCCGGAGCCTGAACTTTGCTCTCCTTGTTTGCTTATCTGTGAGGCCTTGTCTTTTCTGGGAAAACCTTGACGCGGTAGAAATTGCTTAGCAGATCGTGCTGGTAAAGGACTTAAATACACAGAGCATGGCCAAGTCCTCTTGGTTTTTGGACCCTCTGTGTTGTTCTTAAGAGCATGGCATCTTTACGGTCTTATAATTCCCCTCTGCCTTGCAAGATTTTAAACAAATTATTTATATACTTTTAAAATAAAAGTTATATCTATATAAGATGTACAACGTGATGATTCGATATACATAATGAAATGATTACGACCGTCAAACTAACATATCCCTTCACATAATTCCCTTTTTTGTGTGTGATGAGTGTGCCTGAAATCTATTCTCTTAGCAAATTCCCAGGGTTCAATATAGTATTATTAAGTATAGTCATCATACTCCTCTACATTAGATCTCTAGACTTATTCATTTTGCATAACTGCAACCTTGTACCCTTTTACCAACATCTCCCCGTTCTCCTCTTGCAGTCTTGAAGGAGAAGGAGGCAGAAGAGAATGTTAGGAACATGAAGATTCAGGGGTGCCTGGGTGGCTCAGTTGGTTAAGTGTCCGACTCTTGGTTTTAGCTCAGGTCGTGATCTCACAGTTCCTGAGTTCCAGCCCCACATTGGGCTCTGCCGTGATGGTGTGGAGCCTGCTTGGGATTCTCTCTCTCTCTCTCTCTCTCTCTCTCTCTCTCTCTCTCTGTCTGCCCCTCCCCTGCTCATTCTCGCTCTCTCAAAAAAAAAAAAAAAGAAAATGGAGATTCAATCTATGCTCTTAGAGTTTTGGGTTTGATATTTGGTTCACAGGAACAAGGATAGCTGAGCCCACCAATGGCCTGATGCCCTTTCAGCAGGGCCAGCCTTCAGCTACCGTTCTGGGGCTACTTCCTAATATAAAGTGTTTCTCTTTCCAGGTTGCCCGACATGTGAGTGCTATTCCTTGGGGTATCTCTGCCTCTTCAGCCCTTCGACCTGCTGCTTCCCGAAGAACATGCTTGACAAACGTATTGTGGTCTGGTTCTGCTCAAGCAAAATTGGCTTTTAGCACCAGTAAGTGTTAATGCCTTGGGTTGACCCTAGAATGAAAACAGGAATCCTCATCTCAGGACAAGGGTTCTGAACCCTGTCTATGCGTTGGGCTCACTTGGGAAGATTTTTTTTTTTTTTTAATGTTTATTTATTTTTGAGACAGAGAAAGACAGAGAGCGAATGGGGGAGGGTCAGAGAGAGGGAGACACAGAATCTGAAGCAGGCTCCAGGCTCTGAGCTGTCAGCACAGAGCTCAATGCGGGGCTCGAACTCACGGAGTGTGAGATCACGACCTGAGCCGAGGTCAGATGCTTAACTGACTGAGCTACCCAGGCGCCCCGGGAAGATTTTGAAAACATACCACTGCCCCAGTCCCACTACAGACAAATTAAGTCAATCTCTGAGGTGTGAGACTGGGACATCATTTTTTTTTTAATGGAAATGTAGTTGATATGACAATATTATTAGTTTCAGGTGTACAACATAGTGATTCAAGATTTATATACATTAGGTGGTGATCACCATGATAAACCTAGCTACGGGCTGTCACCGTACAAAGTTGTTACGGTATTATTAACTGTCTTCACTGTGCTGTGCATGGCACTCCACCCCTGTCTGTCCGTTTGTAACTGGAAGTTCCTACCTTTTAATCCCCTTATCAGTGTATTTTAAAAGCTCTCCAGGTAATTGTGATGTCCAGTCAAAATTGAGAATTGCTGAGGCAGACAGCCCTTGTGTCACATTACCATTTTGGTCATCAGAGGTTTTAATCCTCTGTGTTGAGGAACATGGAGGGAGCGAGGTGGTACTCAGATACCTCTGGGCCTTGCTGTGTATGAAGGGATGTGAGGTAACCGGAAGTGGCCAACAGCCTGTCGGAACCAAGGCTTTTGGATTCAGACCTGTGTGCTAGTTCTAGCTGGCCACATGAGAGCATGGACTCCTCCAGGACCTGAGTAAAACAAGGCTATTTCTTGAGATTTACACTCCCATTTTCTAGAATGTGGGTTTTGCTAAGATGAGCCTCACAGAATGAGTGATATTTGAAAATACCTCCTTTAAATTTGTCCCACCTTGTAAAAAGCACGTGCAACATGTAATCGCTTGAGAAATATACTTCAGCAAAGCCTTTGCTAATTTTACTACCCTGGAGCTTTAGAAAAAATTTCTAGTAATTTGATGCCCCGCATGTAAAACTTTCCTTGTCCCCTGTCCCAGACCCACTCCAGCGGCCCCCACCGTTTCTGAAGCCTGGGTATTTTGACACTTTGTGGCAAGTTGCCAGTGGAAGCAAGTCCTCTCTAGTTCTGACACATCTCTCGTACCCTTTCCTTCCTTCCTGTCCTCTCAGGCACACCCCTCCTGTCCATACCTCTCATTTAGATAACTGCAACGCCCTCCTACCATCAGTCTCCCTTCCTCCTGCTCCCCTTACCCTCCCCTGCCAGACTAACCCTCCCAAGAAGAGTTGACTCATCTTCCATCTCCTGCGTGTAAACCTCCTGCTTGAAAGCTCCAGTGAGGACTCTGTCTTTTTTTTTTTTTTTTTTTTTTTTTTTTTTTTTTTTTTTTAAGAACAAACTCTAGCCTGATATTTCAGGGCTGTCACAGCCTGGCTTTCAGTCATTCTTCCTTTGTCTCTCACACTTCCTTCCACACACCTGCTCTCTCTGTTCTTTTTTTGTTTGTTTGTTTAATGTTTTTTATTTTTAAGAGAGAGAACGCACACACGAACCGGGGAGGGGCAGAGAGAGGGAGACAGAATGCAAAACAGGCTCCAGGCTCTGAGCTGTCCGTACAGAGCCCGGTGTGGGGCTCGAACCCACGAACCACAAGATCATGACCTGAGCTAAAGTCGGATGCTTAACCGACTAAGCCACCCAGGCGTTCCTGCTCTCTCTGTTCTAATCAAACTGTGCCACAGGCTGTTCCCCACACTTGCCCAGTTCCCTCCTCCATGCCATTTGCCCTGTCCCACGTGGCCTTGGCAAAATCTAAACCATATTTAGAATCCATGTCCGGGCTCATGTCTTCCTCAGTTCTGTCTTAATGCCATCCCCACCATCTCTGGCGTCATCTTGTTCATCTTTTTAGTTCCCATAGTACTTTGAATTGAATTTGTATACAGTCTAGACTACAGAAGGTGGGGGGGAAATTCCCTAAGATGTACAGTTGAACTGAACCTTTTAATTTATATACTACTAATTAATTACTGTGAGAGATTTGCATAAAGTCAAGTAGGTGCGTGAATAAGCAGATGATGAACTGTATGTGCGTGTGGGCTTCCTTCAGGTTCTTCGTACCATGCTCCTGCCGTCACCCAGCACGCACCCTATTTTAAGGGCACTGCCGTTGTCAACGGAGAGTTCAAAGACCTAAGCCTTGATGACTTTAAGGGGAAATATTTGGTGCTTTTCTTCTATCCTTTGGACTTGTAAGTATAATTTCTGTGATGCTTGATGTCATTCTGAGAGCAAGCAAAGGTCTCTGCTTCCCCCTGACATTTCCTATCTCTGGTTGCTCTTCTGGTCAAGGGAAGGGTTCTTCGGGTTGTTTATCGCCAGTGGCCTTGCTGAGTACAGCTTGCAGCTGCAGCTGATCTGATACCTGTAGAGGATGAGGTGGCATTCTTAGTGGGGTTGGGTTTTGATATGGCTGTTTTCTGTACTCCAGAGCAGTGGTTTCTGTAAGCCAGTCTGTCTGTAAGGAAGCTTTCATTGGCCTGGAGGAAAATGAGAAAAGTAAAGATAGTAATAAAATGAGTTTTCTCATAAAGTTATTTATTTTGGGGGGCGCCTGGGTGGCTCAGTCGGTTAAGTGTCCGACTTCGACTCAGGTCATGATCTCGCAGTCCGTGAGTTCGAGCCCCGCGTCGGGCTCTGTGCTGACAGCTCAGAGCCTGGAGCCTGTTTCGGATTCTGTGTCTCCCTCTCTCTGACCCTCCCCCGTTTATGCTCTGTCTCTCTCTGTCTCAAAAATAAATAAAGGTTAAAAAAAAAAATTAAAAATAAATAAAGTTATTTATTTTTTCTTTATTCTTAGAATATGCCTCTTTTCCCCTGCCCACCCCCATTTTTTGATATGATTTTTTTTTTATGTTTGAGAGAGTGAGCGCGTGCTTGCAAGCAGGTAAGGGGCAGGTAGAGAGGGCAACAGAGGATCCAAAGCAGGCTCTGTGCTGACAGCAGAGAGCCTGATGTGGGCTCGAACTCACGAACCATGACATCATAACCTGAACCAAAGTCAGCTCCTTGACTGACTGAGCCACCCAGGCATCCCTTGTGATATGATTCTTTAATAGAAAGGGAAGTCCATTGAGGGTGGTTAACCATTTTTGCTTTTTTCACCTATAAGCAAGTGGCTAGTCTTTAGACTACGTATCGTTTAAATTCTAAATCCTTGTTTTTAAATTCTCTGATGGGAATTGCTTCCCTTTTTTTCTAGCACCTTTGTGTGTCCTACCGAAATTGTTGCTTTTAGCGACAAAGCCAATGAGTTTCACGATGTGAACTGTGAAGTTGTTGCAGTTTCGGTGGATTCCCACTTCACCCATCTTGCCTGGATAAACACACCAAGGAAGGTATAGACCTCAGTTACCCTACCTTTGCAGTTAGCTTCCTAAAAACTGGAAAGATCCCATGAAAGACTAGCGTAGAAGTTGTTAGAGCATGATTAGTCTGAAATAGGCGTTCATAGGTCCTGAACTCCTGGCAAATTCTGTTAAACTCTGGCCATATCTCCCTCCACATTGCCTGGATTTACTGCCCACCACTTGTGCGTTTTCCAGGGTACAAACAGTAACACAGACCAGTCTCAGCAGAGCGGGGCAGAACCAGCTGGGCATGGCTGCCTCCTCTCTGACCTGTACCTTATATTCCACATACCCGGCCTGGCTTGTGGGACAGCGGTTAATAATT